AGGCTACATTTTAACAGTCGTCGTAAATATCAATACAATAAAGACAACTTTCTTTTTCAAATTTATTCTATCTAGCTCTCAAAGAGCAGAACCACTTAAACATTTTAACATAAGAGAAATTGTCAATTACAGGTTCTCGTTGTAAACTTGTAAACTTATAGTTTGAAAGATGCTTGTATAGGGATCAAATCATTAATAATAACAAGTCTTCTTCATTGCATTAATATAATCGCCGACCACTGTAGTTAAACTACTTCTTTATCTAACTATTCATTAATTCCAACCTCTCATGATCCACAAAAACTTTGCGTACAAAAAATGCACTTAAGACTTTGCTTACAAAATAATACACTCAAGTGTCAGGGGTGAAATATGAACCTTCTACTGCATTTGCTGCAGTTATTAAAATACTGCAGTTTAGAAGAAATAATATATATATATATATAACAGGAAATCAAGAGAATTTTACTTATATTTGTTCTTCCTTTTTGTGAAGAAATGTCATTAGAACTCTTGTAACTTGTAATTGTTACATATTCTTAAAAATGTTCAAGAAACATTATTTCATGGTTATAAATTATAAAATTCTTAGTCAGAATATACAGGGTTACAACCAAAAAATGAGATTTCAGAGCAAACTCTTAGGAATTTATACTGTTTCTTCCTTATATCCATAATTTCCTGCAACTATAAACATCTTTTATAAATTATGAAATAGGCGGAAAACTTTATCCAAATTTGAAGAGTTTCAAGTCATCGTTATACTCAAGTTTCTGGGTAACCCTGAGCTAAAAAGAAAGAAAACAGTCTTCTTTATTCTAATGCTTTCTAGTATTATTAAAATATGTGATATATTGCATGATTATGGGAACTAAGATAGGATCGAGAATATGTTTAACTTAAGATGTAATAAATTGATTATCAAAAAATATGAATATTAGTATTTTTGCAGACTGTTATCTATTAACCCCAAACAGGATGGGGTTAGGGAAAGTTTTGCCACCCCCCCCTGGCCCTACCTCCTCCACCCATTCTAGTTTTTTTCCTTAGGACATTTTTAACACTTTCACCTGGAAATTCAAGGCATAAAACTTAATTTTTTATGAAGCCCTTTAAAAATGGGTTTAAAACATGTGTTTCGTCTTAATATTCGCCAATAAATAAATTTAAATTTGTTAAAATTTTCAGACCTTTATTGACTTTTTAAAAGCCACCCAAGCCACCCAACCATTAAAGTTAGCGTTCTAGTTGTTTCATGAGCTGGCTTTAAAAAATTGGTTTATGAATATATATGGCAATTCAAACCTTTACTGAGACATTTTCTAGGGAGAGGACCCCCCTCACCCTCTCGATCCTTATAGGGTTAAGTGAATTGTATAATTTAGAATTGAAAGTTTAAAAAATGATTACTTGTCAAAAACCATAAATTAACTTTAAACTCTGTTTGAATCTGATAGATCAAAAAGTAAATGAAATATCATAAGGTCACACCGTCAGGTTTCACTAGTAAAGATATTAGGAAAAAACTAAAGTGTTCAATTACTTAAATTCTTCAAACAGTTTTTGTTTGATAAAGAATAATTCTGGTTATATCTGGTTTAATAAAGAATAATTCTGGTTATATCTGGTTTAATAAAGAATACACAAAATAGAGAAGAAAGGAGAAGAGAATTGGGAAGGGGGGGCCAATTGGTCAAAGAATAAGGAGGGGGGGGGGGAAGGTTGTAAAATCAAAATCATTCTTCCAAGATATTATTAGATCAGAGGATTAGGATAGATATTATAAATCATTAATTATGTTACAGAAACCACAAAAGACGGGGGGAGGGGGGGGGGATAGTGGGAGGAAGGGGTCGTAAAACTGATGGAGGGAAATTGGGATTAAATACAGCGTGTACTTTCTTCGAAATTAATTAATTATAAAAAACTGATCTAATCTGATTGTCAATGTAGTGCAATATGTTTATCAAAAAAGAACAAAAAAACACTTTATATCTGTTCTTTTAATCTTCAAGTTGTACTGTTAATGGGAAACCGCAATCGAAAATCATGTTTATGTAAACTGATAAACAAGGTATCTTTGTCTCAAAAAAACTTTTTAGAAAACTTTTACAATTAAATAAAAGATTTTCTTTCAAAAGTTAAAAATATATCTAGCTTCCTTCCAAATTGACCATAGAGCCATAAATTGAAATAAAACTTTGTAACATTATTCTTAATTTCAGGAGTCCTTTAAACACTTAATTAAGATATATACATACAGCCTACACTACACATTACACTAGGGCATTCTTATTTAACTTTGTCTGTCCTATTAAACATATAATTTTACAAATAGGCTTTATAAGCCATAATAATTCATCGTGCGTCAAAAAAGACAAATTTTTGCCGAATTTTCTGTTTAATTTGAAAACTGTTTCCCAAGTCTGAAATTTTTTTTCATACAACCAAATTTTTATTTTGACTTATTATAAACCTTTCATGGGGCCAAGTAAGGTACCACATAAAATTGGGCAATATCAGCTCCGCAGTTTGGACGTTTATTGGATTCAAATACAGGGGTATTCACAAAGAATAGGCCCCAGATACGATTGTATGCAATTTATACATTCTGTTTCCTTATATTCACGATTCTCTGCAATTATGAACTTGTTTGTTTTTTTGCTAAATCATTGAATAAGCCATTATTAGATTTCTATAATCTAAGTCAGAAAACGTAATTTAACCCTGGGATCGTCTTTACAGTCTGATCCTTTGTGAGATACCCTGAATAATGTATATATATTGATAAACTGCTAGAAAGGAAAAATTACATGTTTGTTTAGAACTTTTACCAAATTTTCAAAACAAAATTCTATTTCAAATTCATTCAGATTTTTTAAAAAGTTGTATATTTTTTGACATTTGTTTATCTTTATCTGCTTAATATACAAAACACAATATTTTTCATATTCATACACTTTGGCCTGTATTTTCAATATTTTATCAAAAATCAGATAAATATCTGTCCATCGGTCAATCTTTCTATTTTTATCTATCTGTCTATAAAATTACAAAAAATTGTTTTATTTTATTATTTATAAGATTAAATTTCTATAAATTGCAGTACATTAACAATTGCAGTACATTAACAGAATGTATTTGTATAATTTCTCAGATATTTATGTACATTGATCATGTACTTATTCAATACATTTAAGCCTATGATCATATGTCTGATATGGGATTCTAAAGAATGTTCCAGTAAAACAAACTGGTTCTATTGTATCAAAACGGTCAATCTTTCTATTTTTATCTATCTGTCTATAAAATTACAAAAAATTGTTTTATTTTATTATTTATTAGATTAAATTTCTATAAATTGCAGTACATTAACAATTGCAGTACATTAACAGAATGTATTTGTATAATTTCTCAGATATTTATGTACATTGATCATGTACTTATTCAATACATTTAAGCCTATGATCATATGNGGTTTATTATAAAGAATAGAAACTGGACATTGAACAAGGACGGGTGATCTGTTTAAACTTTCTTATAATATTTTCCTGAGAATATTTACACCTGCACAGTGCACACGGTGCACACACTACATACACCATTTCAAGGTGAAATAATTGAATTTTCTTTCTTTCTATTTGCTTTTCTTTCTACAATCTGATCGTCGTCTAAATCTAATTAGAATTATAACCTTTTTTGGAATAAACCATATAGAAAAAGTTCTTTAAAGGTAAAGGGGCATAATATTTCATTTTTGTCCATGGCTCTGCATCATTATCTGTCAACATAACTTTAAATAACCATCCACTTAGAACCTTAACGTTATTCTTAACGATTCACAACGATACCTATAATGGATTTGATTGATCAGATATGAAGCAGAATTTATATATACATGTAATTTATAAAATTGATAATCTCAACTGTAGTTCTTATCAAAAGTGAATTACATAAAATAATAAAGGAATTTTCAGAATTGAAAACTTCTTGAGCTAGAAAAACGACATTATCTTCTGTCTTTAAAACCGGTTCTAATTGAGCGCCCGCTCAAATCTTGCAACACTAAATACAATTTCAAGTGGAACCAACCATTTTTGGTCCGCGGCTCAAATTCTTTAAAGTTGGCCTCAGTTCAATTTATTTCAGGGCCTTTTAAATATTTTTCAGAACTAAGAAAATAAAATGAAAGATCAAATTCTAAAAGGTTACCCACAAAGAATAAAACTTCAAAGACGACTGTACGGAATTTATACAGACTAATCTTTTGTATTCAAGGTTCCCCGCATTTTATACCTCCACCAAATCGTCATGATTCAGGAGTAGTTTTAGGTCATCATTTAAGTCTCATCCTTTGTGGGTAACCCTGTTTGATTTTACTTAAAAGATTAACAAAGTACTTTCTACTGGTTTAGTATATTCTAAAATTATTTTATACTCTGTTAAATATTCTGAGATGAATAGATTTACAAGAGCCCTGCAAGCTAATCAAAATAAACAATATTCTCTAAACGAGAAAAGTTCTAAGTATTTAAAACAATATCCCATTAAAAATAGATTTGCTCTTGATAGTACACTTTACTCTAGCTCATTCAGTTAATTCACATTTGTACACGCCCCTTTCCATCTCCGCCCCCACTGCCAGCAACCCTATTTAAAGGCCCCCCCCCCCATGTACTATTCCTTGACCCCAACTCTCTCCCTCTTTAAACTATTTATTAATTATACATGGAAAGGGATTAAACTATTATTTGATAAATCGCTCATTATTCGTTTTCAATTTAATTTAAGAAAATCAGTTTAGGGAGATTTAAAATAAAATAAGTTGAAATTTAAGAAAAGATTTTTAAAAGAAATTCAAATTTGAAAATAATAATAATTAATAAGAAAAAAAAAAGTAAAAATATTTTTTGTCTCCCTATACAGTGGACCATCTCGAAGATGGAATGAAGGAAACATATAAAAACAAGCTGAATTCCGTTATATTCATCAGTCAGTGGTATTCTCCCAAACCATTCTAAACCTAAAGAAAATGAACTTGAGGTTTAGTTCTCTTATTGTTGTACTGTACCTGTCCTATGTACAAGGGTACGCGAATAGTACAGATAATTGTATTGATATATCAACATATCTTGATGTAGAAACTAACTCAACAGAATTAGAAATGTGCAACTACAGGTATAGAGATATAACAAATAATCATCTTAACAATAAAAATCTGCGTTGCTTAACAATTTCAGGTTTTTTATTTAGTAAGATAAAATTATTTTTCTAGTGTTGAGAGGAACTGTGAAGAGATGACTAAGAATGTATGTACAAAGGTTCCTGAGATTACATGTACACTAGTTCCTGTCCCAAACTGTAGAAATATCGATCAGAAGGTTAAAGCTCACAACGACTACACAGAACAAACGGTAAAGTTCTTTACAGCACAGTACAAATCAGTACAAAAATTAAACAAAACTATTTTATTCAGCTAAAACAAAATAAAAATATCCTTTCTTTTCTGATATAAAAGTTTTCTGAGGAGCTATTTAATAGATAAAAAGTGTCAAGCTCAAGTAAAATTAAAGTTTTCCACTTTTCCTAACATAAATACTTTTCCTTTTCCTAACATAAATACTTTTCCTTTTCCTAACATAAATACTTTTCCTTTTCCTAACATAAATACATTTCTAAGGAAAATTGATAAAAAGACTTAAAATCCTTGCAAGCATTTACATAACTTTGTCAGTTTTCTTGAGTGTAAAATCAAAACTAGAGGAGTATGAGATTGACGAAGTCGTAACAGTAATTTTGTTGTTTACATAATTATGTACAGGTGCTGGAGGTACAGAGCTGTGTTGAAGATGGTGTACAGGTTCTACTTGAGGTAGATCAACAGCCAACATGTGAAAATGTTACGACTCAGGTAAGAAAAACAAGAAAGGAACTGGGCAGTGCAAGGCACTTAATGTTTCAAATACAAATTTCCTTCATTTCATTTTTCTTTGCATCCTGATCCTGATGTTGTAAGAACTTAAATATTTCAAACTATGAATGCTGATTGGTCGATTAGTTCTGGTATGAAATATTAAAGGTTGCAAGGCTTATAGGGAATGAAATATTTGAGGCAAAAATCAGTTTCTTTTTTAAAAGTAGAACTTTTTGGCAATTTCCTAGCTAGTCCTAGCCGCAGCGCGCTGCCCAGAAGGTGTTTGAACCTACCCTAACCCTAAATATTTACTAATTTTGTTGAAAATTATTGAAATTAAAGGTAAGTCCTGGCTGCAGCGCTCCGCCCCTGGCCTGTCCTAGCCGCAGCGTTTGGCCCAGAAATTGTCCTAACCTAACCCTGAAATAATACAAAATAGATATTTTTTGTTGTTGAAAATAGTTGAAATCTAGGTCATGTACAAAATTTATGAAACGCCTTTCGTTAAACTTCATTCAGTATTCAGTGTTGAAGCAATTTTGTAAAATATTTTTATATATTCAGCGTTGATCTTTAACATTTAAAAATGATTAGTAATAATGATTTAATAAATATTCTGATATATTTAGCAATGTGACTCTAAATGGATAACCCTGCCTACCGGAGAAAAGGTCTGGGGTGGTAATGAGAACTGTGAAGATGTAACCAAGGAGGTCTGCACCCTTGAGGATGTATTTACTGAACATGAATATCCTAGTATAACCTGTACCCCTGGAGAACTCCTGCAGTACTATAAACCCCATCTAGTGGAAGAAACTGTAACACTACGCCAGACTAAGTGTACTCCAGCAGCCGGCAGGGTGTGTCGCACAACACTACGCGAGGAGTGTATTGATGTTACTTTTGAAGAATGTACTGAAACCTTAGTTCCTAGCTGTGTAGGGGGACAGTTTGATATTCCATACCAACCATTCGACCATAGGCTTAAGTGTATATTTGACGAATAAGCAAATTTTATTATTCAGTTGGTTTTAATCCAACTTTACCTCATTGTTCTCTAAGAAACATAGAAATTGTAAATTATACTAAAATTTAAATATTGATGCTTCTTAAAATTGTTCAATAAAGTTTTAAAAATGCGAATGATTTAATTTTAAAAAAAGAGAATGTAGTTTCGAATATTCATTAAACAATTAACAATTTAGCAATACAAACTGTTTTGCTACTGAAAGTTATATGTCAAAAGGTGTAAACTAGATTAGCAACGCCTATTTTTAATTGAGAAATCCTTTAGGCTTTTTAAAAATTGATTCCGACCTTTTTCACCTGGTATAATTCTAATAATCTAATTTCTCAGTTTTACATTTCTAACTTTTAGATACATTTTCTAATCGTTTATACCAGACTACTGCAAAGATAAGATATTTAGAAATTAGAAATCAGTTTTTTTTAACTAACATCCTATCGTCTACGGTTGCATACTGATTTTTGATCTTTTGTTAATATGGAGTAAACTATAGTTTTATTCTTCTATTATGGAGAATCAAATATGTCAAACATAATCCAGAATATTTAACTTTATCCCAAACCAAAATCCAAAATAGTTAAATATGAAAAGGTTAATTGGATTTAAAACTTTTTTTGGTATTTTTTATTCTATTCTTTCCCGGTTCTTTTTTGCGTATCCTTCTCTTTTCTTTTCTACTTGTACTTTTTCCCCTTTTTTTCTTCTCTTTACTTCCTTTTCAATATTTTTCTTCTTCTTTTCTCTTGTCTTTTCTTGTCTTTATTGTTTTTCTTGTTTTTTCTTGTCTTCTCTTGTCTTTTCTTTTCTTTTCTTGTTTTACTTGTATTTTCCTGTCTTTTCTTGTCTTCTCTTGTCTTCTCTTGTCTTTTCTTGTCTTTTCTTCTCTTCTCGTATCTTTTCTTGTCTAGTTTCTTGTCTTTTCTTGTCTTTCCTTGTCTTTTCTTATCTTTTCTTATCTTTCCTTGTCTTTTCTTATCTTTTCTTGTCTAGTTTCTTTTCTTTTCCTGTCTTCTCTTGTTTTTTCTTGTCTTCTCTTGCTTTTTATTGTCTAATTTCTTGTCTTTTCTTGTCTTTTCTTGTCTTTTCTTGTCTTTTCTTGTCTTTTCTTGTCTTTTCTTGTCTTCTCTTGTCTTTTCTAGTTTTTTCTTATCTTTTCTCGTCCTTTCTTGTCTTTTCTTATCTTTCCTTGTCGTTTCTTATCTTTTCTTGTCTAGTTTCTTCTCTTTTCTTGTCTTCTCTTGTCTTTTCTTGTCTTTTCTTGTCTTTTCTTGCTTTTTTAGTCTTTTCTTGTCTTTTCTTGTCTTCTCTTGTCTTTTTTGTCTCTTCTTGTCTTTTCTTGTCTAGTTTCTTCTCTTTTCTTGTCTTCTCTTGTCTTCTCTTGTCTTTTTTTGTCTTTTCTTCTTTAGTCTTTTTTTGTCTTTCCTTATATTTTCTGCTCTTTTTGTTCTTTGTTCTTTTCTTCTTTGTTCTCAATCACTTTTCTCTTCCACATTATTTGTATTTTTATAATCTTTATAATTCTGTTTTGTGTTTTCTACCCTTCTTGTATCTTCCATTCTTACTTTTCTATTCTTTTCTTCCTCTTCCCTTTTCTTTCTCAAGGCTCGATATTCTCATCTGAAATTTTATATTTTATTCTTCCCTTGACAACAACTGATGTCATCAATTATGATTGTAAAATAGGTTTAGACCCAGGATGGGGGTTGGGGGAGGGGCTACAACCATTTATGGAACTGGGTGAATGTTTTGATACAATAGAACCAGTTTGTTTTACTGGAACATTCTTTAGAATCCCATATCAGACATATGATCATAGGCTTAAATGTATTGAATAAGTACATGATCAATGTACATAAATATCTAAGAAATAATACAAATACATTCTGTTAATGTACTGCAATTTATAGAAATTCAATCTAATAAATAATAAAATAAAACAATTTGTTTTTTACTGTTGGAATTTTGTAGATAGAAAAATAGATAGATAGATAGACACAATCTATTAAATAGAAAGAGAGATAGATAGATAGATAAATATATAGTTAGATAGATATATAGATAGATAGATAGATAGATAGATATATAGTTAGATATATCACTGCGATTTAATGGTCTCACGCTCTCAAGCAAAAATCGTTGAGAATTTTGCCAATTACTTCTAAAAAACCAAATCTAACAAGAAGTGCTTTACATTGCTAAAATGTACATGTAAAGGGCTACAGAAAAGCATAAGTGAGTTAGAGCGGTAAAATCAAAGCTTAGGGCGTTGCGACACTTCAAAGTCAGCCCTGTCTTAAAAATTGATGAGACTGTTTATAAGGAGGCTGAATCTATGTGATATAGATAGATAGATATATAGATGTATAGATATATAGATAGATAGATAGATAGATAGATATATAGATATATAGATAGATATATAGATAAATAGATAGATAGATAGATAGATATATAGATAGATAGATAGATAGATAGATAGATAGTTAGATATATAGATAGATAGATATAAAGATAGATAGATATATAGATAGATGTATAAATAAATAGATAGATAGATAGATATATAGATAGATGTATAGATATATAGATAGATGTATAGATGTATAGTTAGATGTATAGATATATAGATAGATAGATATATAGATAGATGTATAGATAAGGAAGATGGTTAGATAATTTATGAAAACATATAGTGTTGTGTATAAAGGATAGACAAAAATAATAAATAATGTTAAACTTTTTCCAAAAAAAATAATAAGTTTAATTTCTAAGATAAATAACAAAAGATAGATCTAAAATATTTTAAAAATTCAACAAAGAAGTGTAATTTTACATTCGTAGGAAGTTTATCTTTGTAACAAATGCCTTACTCCAAAAGTTCTTGAAGTCTGTATCAATCCAGATACAACCCTCTGTATTCTCAATTAAGTACGTATCAATCCAGATATTTTTTAACAATTTATTTTTTTTAGTTTTAAAAAAGGTTACTTTAAAAGATAATTACAAACTTGTAAAATATTATTTTAATAGTATTACAGTATTCCAATTTTTCCCACTTTGGGATTCTTGGTACCCTGGGACTCTCCCCCTGGGGGGGTTAGGAGGGGGATCTCAGGCCCCGAAAACACCAAGTGGGAAACAACACCTTAACCTTTATTTTTGATATTTACAAAATAATTGACATTAGAAATTGTCCGTAGATTCTTCTTATCTATTAATTGGATCAAAATTCTGTTAATCTCTGCGTATCAATCCAGATACAGCCCTCTTTATTCTCAAGTATGTATCAATTCAGATACCACTCTCTCTGTATTCTAAAGTATTTAACAATCCAGATTCAACTCTCTCTGTATTCTAAAGTATTTATAAATCCAGATACAGCCCTCTCTGTATTCTGAAGTATGTATCAATTCATATACAACCCTCTTTATTCTCAAGTATGTATCAATCCAGATACAACTCTCTCTGTATTCTAAAGCATGTATCAATCCAGATACCACTCTCTCTGTATTCTAAAGTATTTTTCAATCCAGATACCACTCTCTCTGCATTCTAAAGTATTTATCAATCCAGATACCACTCTCTCTGTATTCTAAAGTATTTATCAATCCAGATACAACTCTCTCTTTATTCTCAAGTATGTATCAATTCAGATACCACTCTCTCTGTATTCTAAAGTATTTAACAATCCAGATACCACTCTCTCTGTATTCTAAAGTATTTATCAATCCAGATACCACTCTCTCTGTATTCTAAAGTATTTAACAATCCAGATTCCACTCTCTGTGTATTCTAAAGTATGTATCAATCCAGATACCACTCTCTCTGTATTCTAAAGTATGTATAAATCCAGATACCACTCTCTCTGTATTCTAAAGTATGTATCAATCCAGATACAACTCTCTCTGTATTCTAAAGTATTTATCAATCCAGATTCCACTCTCTCTGTATTCTAAAGTATATATCAATCCAGAAACCACTCTTTTAAACTCTTTATTCTCTAAGATTAAACTGCCCTATAATACAGTCAGGTGATTATAACGTAATATATATACACAGGTAGGTTCAGGTTAACAAGATATGGGGTTTATCACTATATTTATTACATATGTATAGAATTTGAAAAAAAAATATTATGTAAACAGAAAATTCGCGCAAATTTTTATTTTATGATGTTGTTACGCGAGCCATGCTGCGTGTAGAAAGTCTGTTTGTCGCCCCTGCGTATTTCTGAGTTTCTCCTGAAGATCTGTACGGAATGTATTGTGAAAAAA